TTCCAGCACCTTGTTGAATCTATGCCACGAAGAATTGAGGCAGTTCTGAAGGCAAAAGGGGGTCCAACCCGTTACTAGCATGGTGTACCTAATAAAGTGGCCGGTGAGTGTATTGTATTAATAATATGTTACAACCAACCCCAAACAATGTTGCAACTGTCCCCAGGGTCAGTTGTAACATCTGACTTTTCATTTTCAAATACAAATAGTGAAGAATGTACATGATTTAATCATCTATAAATGGTTTTGACTGTTAACAGACAGATATAAGTTTATTGTATTAAAATTTGGTTTGTCTGATCCAAACCATCTCTGAGTAACAGAGTCAAATGTAAAAAAGTGTTGCCACTGTCCCTGGTCTAGATCCAATTATTATCTTTGTTTTAAATGAATTTTGTTTTTTCTTACAACCTGACAAGTTGACACTGATTAGGTCATACACAAGTGATGACCCCTCCTTTTTTTTCCTGAGCAACACTTGAGAAACATCAGTCACATCTGCTCCTCATAGGGTTGGGCATAATCGTATCGTGTGCAATTAATCGTCAGAAAAACATTAATCGATTACTTTTTGGCACTTGACGATTAATGCCACCAGGCAGAATCCGCTCGCTGCTCCTCTCTGCTTCAAATATGATGAACATTAAAAAAAGTTCTGCAATTTATTTATCTATCAACACAGATTTTAAATTTGATGTGTAGCCTGGAGTCTGTAATTTTGACACAATTTGGAACAGATTTTTATGAAATCTTTCCCACTAAACTGGTCATCTTACTAGGACATGTAGATGTCCAGGGACTCCAGGGGATTAATCGTCAAATTAATCGTTATCGGCTAAATACCATAATTAATCGTGATTACATTTTTTTTGCCAATATTGCCCAACCCTAGCTCCTCACCATCACCACTGAAGTGTCGCACAGTGGTGAAGAGGCCAGCTCCACCCTGCAGGGACGTCCTCTGCCCTGCACCCAGAGCAGCTCGTCTCCATCACGTTTAAACAGCCGACCCTTCCAGTCTTCATTTGCTCTGACCTCCCTGTGAGGGCTTCACACGGTTTTAAGACATCCCTCATTAAAAATGCACGAGTCAACTCCGCTGAAACCAGGTGGATTTTAATCCTYCTGACATTTGGTTGAATTTCTGCAGTCAGGCAGCAGAGACGTGACTTCATGATGTGTCTAAAGTTATGATCAGAAAAAAGCCACACCTGTCTGCAGATATGGATCTTTATTTATTTATTTTTTAAGAACATAAAAGCATCAAATATATATTGTTTTTCATTTGTTTTAATTGAAGTCTCGTGCATTTTTTTTGTTAAAACAAAAGCAGATGATTTGTGCCTCACCTGTTCTGGTGTTGAATGTAACTACAAAGACGGACACAATCTGGTCCTTTTCCTCCCACTTCACCATCCTGTCCTGCAGCGACGCCTCCCKCGCCCCTGAATCCGACAGATGCGCCTCCTTGTCGGGAGGCAACGCTTCATCCGCGGCCGCCGGGGCGCCGGAGGTCGCGGGCGGGGCGCCGAAGCCGTCTGAGCTGGGAGCGGGACCCCCCGCCGGTCCGCCGCTCCACCCAAACCCCGGGCATCCCGACGAGGCTCGGCCGCTGGAGGGGCTCGGCGGTCCGTCCGGCGCCTCGCCGCCCGGTCTCTCCGCGGACGGGACCTCCTCCCAGTCCAGCAAACGGGCTCGGTCCGACCGCTCCACCATCCTCAGCCGTCTGTGCGACAATCACCAAGTCCGTCCGCGAATAATTCAAACTCAACGCATTTCCTGCATGTTCAAGTCACGAGGATTTCATTTTGCTTTAAATTCTCATTAAGTGTTGCAGCTTAGATCATAAATTTGATGCTGAGAGAGGGCAACTCCTTCCAGTGAAGTTGTGTTCAAAATAAATCCAGCAWTTCTTGTTACATCCCTCTGACAGTAAATAGCCACAACATTTCCAAACGCTAATCTCATTTTGCTTCTTGAACGCAGCCTTCACTCAGCTTCCGTCGGTAGTCTAGTTTACACCATCCGCACTTTCGTCAAAAAAACATGTTTTTAACTGGTTGTCAATTTGTGACTTACATGTATAAATTCTAACATAATAAATGTTTATTAGTAGTTACGTAAGAATATTTTATAATAGTTTCTCTGATGATAACTTCCATATAAGGACGTGGTTTAYGTGACGAATGTGCGAACGTGAATACAAAGCGAGTTGACGTTCTTCAACGACACGTCGACCAGACGGAACTAACCTGGCAGCTGTTTGGAGTCCGTAGGCTGAACAAAATGGGTGAGTTTGACACGTTTTGACTACTATTATTAATATTTTTATCAGTCTGCGTGAAAACTGCGGAAAAAGTGTGAAACTCTGGTACATCCGCGTTTTAGTGTTTTAATGTGACGTCTGCCAGCTAGCATGGCTAGCTAACATAGCTGTTTTGTATACCTTTAGTTTTTTTTATACTGTTTAAATATATAAAAAATAGCTGTTTACATGTCTGACTTTAGGATATGGGTACTTACAACCATATCACTATAGACTCACAAATACATGTGTCGTTTTTGTGAGGAAAACATCATCATGCTACAACAACCTCAGAGCTAATCCTTCTACCAGTATTGTTTCATATTCTGACTTTGTAAAAAGAGTCAAAATCGTGTTTAATCGTGTTACTAAATATGTTATTGGCTGTTAAAAGACCAAATGGTTTTGTAGCCCACAAGTCTAATCAAGAAACGAGGAAAAGTTAGGATAGTTTGATCAAATCCAGTTAATGATTCTTCCTGTCTTCCTCTTCTTTCAGGAGGTTTCTTCTCTAGTCTGTTCTCTGGCCTGTTTGGCACTCGGGAGATGAGGATTTTGATCCTGGGTCTGGACGGTGCAGGAAAAACCACCATTCTGTACAGGCTTCAGGTTGGAGAAGTAGTTACCACAATTCCCAGTACGTAATGCCTTTTTAACCCTTTTTACCCCACAAGTCCAAGGATGGCAGAGCTGCACCAGGAAGCTCTGTTCATGTATTTTGTTTTAGTCGATATTTTTCCAGGCTCTACGCTAATCTGCTCGACATTCTTTTCTGACTCGCTGAAAAGAAGCCAAACTAGTGCTGARAAACKAGTTTTACCCGTTATGGACCTGATTTTAGTACATACAAGTAACATAAATCAGAACCTCTGAGTTTAATCACACATCTGCAMGGTCACTGAGATTTTGCTGATTTTAAAAATCTTTGTTGACCCATAAATCATAGATTATTTAAATAACTTGTACATTAAAACAAGGAGATAGTGTGTTCTGTTACGCTGTCCCTCTGGTGATTAAAATGTTTTTGTTCCKCATGTCAACATGTACACACACATGTGCACTCTTGATAAAGTCTTTTAGATGATGCTAATGTGGTATTTTTCTCTCCAGCTATCGGCTTCAACGTGGAGACGGTCACTTACAAGAACCTGAAGTTCCAGGTGTGGGATCTGGGAGGACAGACGAGTATCAGGTACATTTAAATGGAGAATTAGACTTCTTTTCTGTGAGGCTGCCTCGTTGCCTCACTTTTGTGTTGTTGCACTTCATAAACACCTTCCAACATCCCCTCAGACCCTACTGGCGGTGTTATTATTCGAACACGGACGCGGTGATCTACGTCGTCGACAGCAGCGACCGTGACAGGATGGGCATCTCAAAGTCCGAGCTTGTTGCCATGTTGGAGGTTTGTGTCTCAATCCTGAGCACTAAAACTATTGTGCGGCATGAGGGCCAAAATTAAGACAAATGGGCAAMCAGCGGTTGCTACATCCTTGTAGCAGGAGGCTATATGAATATAAGCCAGCTATTGATCTGATTAATGATAGCCCGGCACTGGCAAATGAGAAGGAGACTATTCATGTGTRTTAGCACTGGAGAGGCTAGCAACTAGCATAAATAATCTGGAAGTTAGCACTGGAGAGGCTAGCAACTAGCATAAATAATCTGATGTTAGCATTGGAGAGGCTAGCAACTAGCATAAATAATCTGATGTTAGCATTGGAGAGGCTAGCAACTAGCATAAATAATCTGGAGTTAGCATTGGAGAGGCTAGCTAGCATAAATAATCTGGATGTTAGCATTGGAAAGGCTAGCTAGCATAAATAATCTGGAAGTTAGCATTGGAGAGGCTAGCTAGCATAAATAATCTGATGTTAGCATTGGAGAGGCTAGCTAGCATAAATAATCTGGATGTTAGCATTGGAGAGGCTAGCTAGCATAAATAATCTGATTTTAGCATTGGAGAGGCTAGCAACTAGCATAAATGAGCTGATGTTAGCATTGGAGAGGCTAGCAACTAGCATAAATGAGCTGATGTTAGCATTAGAGAGGCTAGTGACTAACATGAATAAGCTGCTGAGGCTTGCTAGTCTGTCCAAYGCTAACACAAATGAATAGTCTCTTTCTCATTTGCCAGTGCCAGCCTCAGTTAGCGGTGCTGGCCTGTCATTAATCAGATCAATAGCTGGTTTTAGGAATAGCTCTAGCCCCCTGCTACAAGGATGTAGCAACTGCTGGTTGACCAACAGTCTCTCCTTTGGCCCTGATACCGCACCATGAAAAAGTAGGTCTCGTCTTCAGGGAGTGATTTTTGTGTTGCAGGAAGAAGAGCTGAAGAAGGCCATCCTGGTGGTGTTTGCCAACAAGCAGGACATGGAGCAGGCCATGACGCCGACTGAAGTGGCCAACTCTCTGGGCCTTCCTGCACTCAAAGACAGAAAATGGCAGATCTTTAAAACCTCTGCCACAAAGGGGACGGGCCTGGACGAGGCCATGGAGTGGTAAGATGCTCAACTATTACAGAAAGGTTTCCAGTCAGGGTAAAATCTCACGTCGTGTTTTTTCTCTCAGGCTGGTGGATTCTCTGAAGAGCCGGCAGTAAAGACCACCTGTTGCGTGTACATACTCCTGACCTTTGACCCGTTCCATATGAAGCCTCGTGACTGACCCCTCCCCCCTCTTTTTGTTGTTGTTTTGGACCAGCGGATGCACTCCCGCTCTCCTCCGATGCCTTTTTCACGCCTGGGACTGAGAAGAGACTGCTGCAGTAACGGATAATGTTTTCACCTCATGTTCAGGAAACAAATCCAATCATTAATAATCCCGTTGCAATGTTTCTGTCCCAGAGATGATGGTGGATTATAAAGATGCTTTTGTATCCCAGGTTATCTCTGAGTGCAGATATCGATGATCTGCATGGATTCACTGTGTCATTCTGGTGTCAAATTTCCCTTCGTCTCTACATTTACAGTGTTTTCTGTTACTGCAGCCCAGGTCGGTTTATTTTTCCTTTCTATTCCTAATTTATGGGTTGATCTCTGTTTTTGGTATAAAGGTTCCTAAACTACATGCTTAAAGTTTTATGGTTGGATATTTATACCTGCTTGTACAGAAAAATAATCTCAGTAAAGAATGCAATCAGTGATTGTCACATTTAACGTTTTGTGGATTTTTCTTTAAAGAAAAAACTAAACTGATGTTTGTTTATTTTTTTTTAGTTACAAAACCGCTGCAGTCAGAGTTTTTAACTTCCATTAATGTTTTCTGTTTGAGTCCGTGAGTTCACCGCACCATGGCCAGGTCTTTCAGGGCGTGGCTCCGGTGCTTCTTGGCTTTATATCCAGGTCGCAAGAACTCGATCTTCCTCTTCTTAGCTTCGATTTTATTCCTGTGCTTCTTCATTTTCTTCTTGGCCGCGACGTCCGGGTTCACCACCGCCTGAGGCCAGATTGAGGGGAGTTAACAGAAGATCAAAGCTGCTTCCTGARTGCTTTAATTCTGTGTTCAGTACCTGCATGGTTCGGTGTCGTTTACGCGCCGCCCGCCTCTGTGAGAACTCGCGCTGGACCGCAGAGAAGGCCAGGGAGAACCTCTCCAGACCCACCTGCTTYTTCAGGAGCTCGATCAGCTCCTGGGCCAGGTTCTTCAGGGTCGGGTCTGGATGGAGGATGTGGAGACARGAGGTTAAATCTGAACGAGGAGCTTTGTTTCTGCAGGACTCCTTTAAAAAGTCTTAAAAGGCATTTAATTCATYAATCCAAAAATATAAGGCCTTAATTAGTCTTAAATCAATCTTTCAGAAGTCTTAAAAATGTGAACATATAGGATGACTAATGCGTCTCAAATATTAAAATAACTTTTTTTTTAAATATTCACATGCAGACATTCCCCTTTGACGTCACTTCCTGTTACTTCACATGCAAATATCAACAACGGTTCATCTGAGCAACGTGAAATTCATTTAGTAATATGTTAATGTTGTTTTTCCAAAAATACATTCATATTTCTTACAAAAAATTGATGTCACGAGCACTTTGAGGTTTTATCTACAGCAAATTGGGGTTGAGACCCCACTGTGGGTCCTAAAACTCCAAATTTTAGTAAGTAAAACTTTATTTATAGCACATTTCAAGATAGGGATCACAAAGTGCTTCAATAAACGCAAATATAAAAATAATTTTAGGTCATTTCCAGATTTCCAGGAATTAAAGTTTAAAACTGACGGCTAAGAATCTTTTTTTSATGAAAAAGCAGTTAGATATGGATAAAAACTATTGGTCTATTAGCAATATTTAAATACTTTGATTCATGAGTTTCTGCCACAGTTTTTATTTTTTCGTCATTTGCGTTTATTATGAAATTGGGTCTTCAATTTGGTTTCACTTGGCATTAAAACGTCTTAAATTTAACTTGCTTAAAAGTGTAGGAGCCCTGTTCTGGTGCTGGTTCTGTTGGTCTAACCTTGGTCGGCGTACGTGCTGTCCAGCTCTCTGTACAGAGGGCCGACCATGGTGGTGAGGTACGGGCCGAGACGCTCCTTCCCCAGATCCACTGCYGTCGCTCCCAGGAACTTAAACACRCACGTCCTCTGTGGGAGGGAGGACATGCACACATGTCAACTTGTACAGATTGTCTGTAAGTTATAAGGACTTTACGTCATTTTGCAGGTATACGGACGTATAGAGCAATCTCACGGATTTTTTCAAGTCTTACGGATTCCTTCAAAACCTCATTTTCAAATTTATCTACATGTCAGAGCCTACAGGATGATCAAAAAAATAAACAAACGTCTGTCGCTAGAAATAAGTTTTGAACTTTTTCTGCTCTCCTCCTGCCTCGCAGCGGGCACTTTATGTCCGCAGCCGACCCCCCCGCGGGAGCGAGTTGTATGGATTTTTTGCAAAATTTACGGATTTTTGARGCTCTTTATACAGGTAAACGTCCGAACAGGTTGACATGTATGGACATGTTGGAAAACCATGATAGAAATTATGGCTGGTGGTTTGACCGCGCACCTTGAGGGGAACTTTGGGAGTGTAAGCTGCTTCTCTCTTGGCCATCAGAGACAGCTTCTTCATCAGCCACAGAAGAGACGGAGGCTTATCTTTGTCCTCCTCTTCTTCTTTCTCTTCATTTTCATTCTCGCTGCCCTCTTCTTCATCTTGAACCTCCTCCTCAGGAGTGAGGCGAGACTCGGGGGACAGGAGGTAAATCACCTTCCCGACATAAAGAAGATTCTTGATCACCTGCAGACGGAGCGACACATCCGTCAACTTGAACGTCACAGTTTGACTTTAAGGACACGGCAGGTGGACCTACCTGTTCTCCTGATGACGTGTCTAAGAACTTCGACTGCAGCTGGTGGCAAAAACTCAACGCCAACTCCCTCATCTAGATGTTCCCAAAATTAATAAAACAAATGAGATGGAGGAAATAGGACGATGGCAATAAACAAAGAGGTCCTTACCTTCTTATCCAAGCTGCAGGTGATGAAATCTGTAGCTGCTGGTTGGGAGGCAGCACCTCCTCCTCCGCTCCAAACATCGACCAGCTGCTCCGCCTGCTGAGCGGCGAAAAGCTGACCAAAGAGCTGCGAGGCGGTGAGCCACACCCAGCAGTGAGGGTGCCGCAGGTGGGCTTCCACGTGACCTGAAAGGGTTCCAGGAGCCGTCAGTTTGAGCGTCTGGAGATGAAGCTTGTGTGTGTGTGTGTGTGTTTACCCCAGATGTTCAGGAGTGTGTCGCGGGGCGTGCAGAGCTCCAGCAGGTGGCAGTGTTTGCTCAGTTTGGAGATGAGCGTCAGGTAGCTGAAGAGCAGCCGGTCGGCTCCTCTCTCATCCTGCTCCTCCTCGATCTGAAGGTCGGAAACATTCACAATTAGATTTTATTCTCACAGCTTCGCTTTTCGCTTTAAAAACTCAGATATTCACATCTTCGTAGTTGTCGGGGTGGATCTCTCTCTCCAGCAGCGGGAGCAGGTCGTCCATGCGATGTGCAAACTTCTCCTCCTCCACCTCCACGAACAGCCCGCACACCTGAGCTCCGAGGCGCCGCAGGCCGACCTGAGGAGCCCAAAAACCAGATCTGTGGCCAACAAGCTCCACCGCCACRAGTTCTATAAAATCATTTGAGCTTCAGCGCACCTTTTCTGAGTTCAGCCAGGTGCTGACAAAGGAGAACAAGGTGTTCTGGTGGTTCAGGTCCAGCTGGGGGAGCAGCGTTTTGATGGCCATGGCAGCCATTTTCTTACAGCGCGCCGAGTCGTCGTTGACCACGAGGAGAGCCAGCGGGGCGAAGAACAGGCTGCTGTACCTGAACAGCAGCTTCTGAACGGAGCAGGAGACAGATGATCTGAGTAAAAACCATCTCTGAGACTTTTAAACACGTTTGCATTTCCACACCTGAGGGAACATCTGGAAGATGGACGCCAACATTTCCAGCACTGACTCCCTGCCGGTGTCGTGTTCGTACTGCAGCTGCGCCGCCACGAAATCCATGTGTTTGTTCAGCTTCTTCCCCAGTGGGTAGTCCAGCAGGTACTTCACGTAGATCTGCAGCACACAAAACAATACCTGAGCTAAAGATCTGCGCCAGGAAACAGAGGGGGACGTGTGTGTTCGTACCTGTCGACAGTGAATTCTGATCATMGCGTTGCTCCCAGTAACTGCCAACGTGGCCACTTTCTTCAACACCTCCTCCATCTCTGGGACAACCAGCTTCCTGGACAGGATGGCCTGGAGATTTTACACACAAATACACGTAAACACACAGCTCTGGACGCAAATATTTTACTTCAATTCAATTCAGTTTATTTATATAGAGCCAAGTCACAACATATGTTGTCTCAGGGCACTGTACATGAAAAGAACAATCTAAAGAAGAAAGCAGCAGATTGTGTTGAATCACTTCATCACAGTCTCCCATCCTGAGCAAACGCTGGAGAGGAAAAACTCCCTGCTAATCAGGAAGAAACCTCCAGCAGAACCAGGCTCAGGACAGGAGACCATCTG